AGAGAGAGAGAGAGAGAGAGAGAGAGAGAGAGAGAGAGAGAGAGAGAGAGAGAGAGAGAGAGAGAGAGAGAGAGAGAGAGAGAGAGGAACGCGAGGCCAGAGTGGGGTTTGAATACTTACCTATGCATAGGGTCGGGCTGAATAGTTGCAAACATATCTGGGCAGGATTGGGGAAAAGTGCATTTAGTTTTCAAATAATTCTTCAGGTCTGCCTACCTTATGTTGAAGGTGCCGAGTTGGCAATCTATGCGGCTAGCGAAGAGTGACTCAAAACATATCTATGTTACCTCTTGTATGCTGTTTACTATCTGTGGTCAGTGGCGCTTCATTTACGGGCATGACCATTGCCGCTTCCATGAATGACAACCGGAAGTGCAGAGCAGGTACACTTTTCTTGTGGTAGTAATGCTGATGGAGAAATTTGATGCACCAAGCATCACCAATGTTATGGAGAGTTTTCTTGCAGGAAGAATAGGAGAGCAATGGTGCTGCAGTGAATGAGATGAAAAGAACACAACTCCAGCGGACAAATCTTCTTCCCTGTAGTCACTCTTCTTTTTCTCGCTACTCAGATTTAGCTTCTATGGGAACATGCTTTTGACATTCGGGCAGCCTGTCTCAAGCATGCAGAAAGACATCAGAAGAATGGTAAGAAGGGAATGGGCGAAGTAGGGAAATTAAGCAACCAATTTGACGTTCTCAGGAAAGTGAAGGCGGAAGAATTATCGGAATACACAACATTCAGATACGCAGAAAAGAAGAGAGCAAGGGAACAAGGAGTGAAAGACAGAGATAGAACAGCTCCAGAGTCGAAGGACGACTTCCAAGATCTGCGCCCAAAGAAGTGGAGATCAGGGCAAAATCAGAAGAAGAAGAACCCGAATATGACCCAGTCCGATTCTGAGGAAGAATCAGTGCCCACACAACTGGAAAAGGAAGCGGCAGTGGTAATTGCGCAAACAGAGAAGCTGAACAAACTGAACGAGGAATATTCAGCAGAATTCACTACGATCACACACATTGCCAGGGATCAGGCTCCGCTGGTAGTAGAGACAGCCAAGTCGTCAAGACTAACATTGATGAACATCCGCCCATTGATTGCTGCAAGGTATGTAGAAAAACTGGAGGAATGGCAAATTGCAATAGATGTGTCCTTTCAGATCCCATGCTTTGAGGAAGGGCAAAATGTGGCTACCGCACTCCGCGAAAACATGTCCACGAAGTATCCATTGGGGGTCTATGACTCCATGCCAAGCAACCTAGATCAGGAGGATGCACTTCCTCAGCCAGAACACGAGGGATCTACTTCACAGCACTCAAAGCATGGTAGACATTCACCTTAGGCATTCTCACCAATGATCGTCAAGCTGTCAAACAAAGCAAATATGAGTTCAGGGATGAGATGGAGGCCGTGGAGAACGATCAAAGCTGTGCCCTATAGTGTCTTGGCGGGGTCGAGCTTGCCGGCTGAACTGGCAGCAGTTTCACTGGCTCAGTTAGTTGCCACATGAATGTTGGAGGGCGATGGTGACTTAGATGCGAGGGCATACCCAGTGGACTGGGAGAGGTTTTATAGGAGTGACGAATCTGAGGGGGAGGACCAGGAATGACACTGTGATGACGAGAAGGAGGATGAAGACCAGGTGGATGCGATGGATCCAGACAATGAGGATAGTGAAGAGTTGCTTGAGATCCCCAGACAGGAGACGGGTAAGACGGCTAGTGTAGGCCAGCTCACGGCAGACCCCCAAGGGGGGGAGGGACTTTTGGACATGGACTCGGGGGGGGGCGCGCCTTTGTAGATTTTTCAACAAACTGCTGATAACCCAGTTTTATTCAGTGGATCCCAGAGGATGGAAGGGTTCAGGAAGAGGGCCAATGAGAGGGAATGTCAGAGGGACTGGAAAGACCAAGGAATCATCATTCGATCATGGAATGTGAATGGCTTGGGTAATGTCATAGACAAAGAAGAAAAATGGAATGACATAGTCCAAGGTTTAACAGTTAAAAACAGAACGCCAGCAGATATAATAATGTTGCGAGAAACTCATTTATCATTCTCAACAGAACACAGCAGAATCAAAAGATTCGTGTCAAGGAAGCTGGGAGGGGTCAAAGATGAAATATGGTCGGCGGACAATGTTTCGAATACTAAAGGTACAACTATCCTAATCCCCAGCTCTTCACGCATATACAAGGCAGGAAGTGTTATGAACAAGGAAGCGGATTCCAATGAAGGCAGATATGGTGTTCAACGCATTTTAAATGGAAAGATGAAGAATTCCTCCTCCTCAATATCTAAGCCCCAAATAACGAAGCTGATAGAACGTCTTTCCTGTCAGAGTTGGGGACAAAGATTCCACCGCTGACGTTGTGTATAGTGGCGGGAGACTGGAATGCAACCTTAGACTCAGCAAGAGACCGCATATCCAGATCCTCCAACACTTATAACTCTCAAGAGGCAGTACCGGTCCGGAGATTAATGGTGGACCACGACCCAGTAGACCCCTTTAGAATCTTCCACCCGACGGCGAGAGCATTCTCATTGATTAAGAAAAGCCATGCCCAGCACACAGCCTTCTCACGAATAGACTACTTCCTGATATCAGCCACAATGATGGGAGCGGTGAAAGAGGCGACAATCTTGCCTTTAGCACCTTACCGAGGACTGGACCACAAACCCATTGAACTCACGATATGCTTTGAGCAACAAGTTAAGAAAGGGGCCAGCTTTCACAAACTGAACAACTCACTCCTACTGAGTCAAACTTTCCAAGAAGGGATACAGGAATTTTGGAAAGAGGGGTATGACCCGCCTCCCCACTCATGACCGGTGGGAATGGTTCGTAGAGAGTTACTCGCTACTAGCGGAGGCTGCAGCCAGCATGTCAAGAAAACTGGCCTCCATAAGGAAGCAGAGAAAGCAAAGCTTGGAGAAGGCCTTGAAGATAGCAGAATACAACTTGAGAGATAACCCGTCCTTAGCACTACGGGCATATTTGAAAAAGCAAGGGAAGAGCTAGCGATGTTGAGGTGGTGGGAGTTAAAGGGCATGCAAATAAGAGCTAGGATGTGCGAATATGATCTCAACGAATCAATGTCGAAACACTTCTTTGCCCGAATCAAAGCGAATACAAGAGCGGCCACAATAGAGAAATTAAAAACCCTTAGAAACCCAGAGGCGTCGGAGGAAACCAGCGA